TCGAAACTTCTGATGATTGGTTTATGGGCGTGTTACGTATCGTTCTTATTATAATTTAAAGTGCATCCTTGTATCGTTATTAAAATTYGTATTTAGAACATCACGACCAGGATGGTTTAGATTTAATTATGTAGGTAGGTATAGTAAATCAAATATACTTTTTAACAAGTAGTTATATAGACATTAGAGTTAAGTGCGAAATGAAAAATTCGATACAGGTAATAAAATATAGTATATCGTGTGGTTAATATAGCTATATAGGTTGGTATTGGTACTGTTATACAGATTTTGACATCATCAAAAATAGTTATGATTCGAATACATGTTTGAACTCCCRCAAAATTAATTAAAGAAGCCACTCAAAATGCGTTTATTATATAACTTGTTATACTGTCAAAACAATAATGGATTCGAATAGGTACGAATAATATTATAATATACTATGTACGGTACCTAATGATATTATTGTCGATCTCGGCGAAAGATTAAATCTAGTTTTTTAATAGAATAATAGTATGGTGTATAATATTTTATTTATGCAGTTTGCACAATATTTTCAATCTCATGAGAAACTCGCGGATGATGGATGTTTGGTGCGCCAGAATTTAACAGCTCGGCGGTCTGATTGTTCATTTGTACATCGGATGCATATTAATATTGCACTGTAGGATTGCAATTGCTGTAMAACCGACGACTACTGGACATGTTTCGACTAGTTTCAAGACTTCGAACACGTATATATAAAGTTTTATAGTGTCTATAGTACCTATAAACAGTAATGATAATGCTGTAATAACCACGTAGGCAATACACCATGTATACAATATATGAGGTACTAGTTTATAGTGTATATAGGTAGGTACGTCATGTATTACGTGAAAAAAAAAATAGAAGGTAATTAGTCGTACTTATTCAAAGTCTAAATTAATAATATTCGACGTGGTAAAATGCGTAAACATTCAAACAGTCGTGCACCCGTGTAACCCAAGTTGTTCTCCCCCGTCGACGCAKTTACGTCATAAGGACARGTGTGATGGCGGTGTATTCAGTGTTCGTCGATAATAATAATATAATAATAATGTTATGAACGCGCGTAGGCTGTCCAAACACTACTTGAAAGTACCTACATGAATAAAAGACACGGTCGTTGTTTGTGTATTATATATATTTATATATTACAGTTTTTCTCCATCCGATTATGTGATTTGATTATTATTATTATTATTTTACAGAAGATCTCAAGGACAACGGCAACGTTGATTTTAATTTTTAACTATAAATATATATTATATACGGACATATAGGTGCATAACGTCATAAAATTACCATTATACCATTATTAAAAATACGTGGATATGCATGGTCCTAAATTAGGGGGTTTATCGAATTTACACGTCAAGGGGGCAAACAATTGTTGTGCATACGTAATTTAGTGTTTTTAATATTCTTATTATATAACTCGCATTYGGCTCGAAACTATTTTCCTTAAAAAATATTATCTATGATGGCAATCGTTAGGTGTGGTATATAGTCCTGAGTATAAGTTTAATCTTTCGATCTCTCGAGTATAGCGTACAAAATATGTTTGTTTATAATATTTCTCATTACTTTTTAAGATGTKATTTCGGAGAAAAAAGTAAATTTCGTTTATAATTTGAATGTTATAGCTAAAGAATAGTAATATATACAATAGTAAATATATGTATATATTTTATATCAATATAAAATAGAATTTATTGCAAAAACATTTCGGCGGTAGCTGGTCAGAAAAATTGATACTTATAAATATGTTATGATTGGAAATTATATATCTAACATATTATTATATAATAGCTAGTCTAATACAATAAGCATTGATGGTGAGATAAAATGATTTGTAATAATTTAACAGTCGCAAATTAAATCTAAACATTCAAAACTTAATCAATATTTGATTTAAAACATTTTTTAATTATAGTCTCATGGTTCATATAATATAGATTTTTTAGAACATACATTATGTTTTATTACAATACTATTTTTTTAAAA